CCCCGTCCACCCCGTCCACCCCGCCGCGCTGCCGGGGACCGCTCGCCGGTCAGCGCTGCCGTGGCATTTGCTGGCCGGCCGGAGTCCGGGTCACACTTGTCGTGTCGGGGCCGAGGCGTGTCGAAACTTTGGTCCGAAACTAGCGGCCCGCTCGACTCTCCACCGGAAAACGACATGAACTGGGGCTCCAGGGTCAATCTAAGAGTTACCTGGGGTCAATTTAGCTCGGGGTCGGTCTAAATGGGGAAGGGTTGGCTTAAAAGTGACCACGGGACGGTTTAAAAGTGACCTGGGTTCAATCTGAACGTGCCCTTATGGGTCGTCCTTAATGTGACTATGGAGCACTAGTTTAAATGCGACTGTAACAAAATAAGAGTGACTGAAGTAGGGGCCCTGAAACCCCCGTCGAGTTTCCTGGAGCGACAAACTGAAAACGACTTAAATCTACGAAAGAGTTACCAGGTGTTGGAATTACGCCTCGCCAGCACCGTGGCCGGCCGGTTCGCCGCAAAGCATGCCGTCCCTGTTTCTCTGCGACCCTCTGCGTCGAGGGCCCCGAGGGGGTGGGGCCCCCGACGGGGTGGGGGGGCCACAAATTGGCGTTGAAGAAACGAGGTACCCGTTCAACAGGCGGACAAGGCCCCGGCCGAGGCCCCCCACCAAGGCCCCGCCACACTCTGGGAGTCAAATTGGCCCGAAGATTCCCGGTCCGATGCTCCCTGCCCCGTTCGGTTCCCACGGGGGCTCCTCGTCCCATAAACTCGTTGATCCAGGAAACAAGACGCTGCAGCGGGATATCCAGCGGGTTATCCAGGGCAAAGTCCTGGTTTCCTGGTCGGACCGACTTGCGTTCCGTGAAACCTGAAACTTGCTTTGACACCTGACGGTGTAGCGGCGCCTTTGTGTAAGTTTGCCGATGTGTCGTGCCGGAAGTACGTTGTTGCAAGGCGTAGCATGATGTGCGGGGCCCCCGAGGCTTCCTGGGGCCGCCTCAGGCCGCCTCAGGCCCGAGAAAAAGGACTTTGTCCCACCTGTAAGCCGGCTTACCCAATTTGAGGGGCCCCGGTCCCCCCTCCACTTTTCGAACAGCGTCGGCAAAGTTGGTGCTCCTGGACCGGGCGCCGCCCGCCCCGGCCCCGCCCCGGACCGCCTTACCTCGCTCCTGGTCTTCGATATTAACAGTCTGGGCACAACTTCCGAGGGGATCCAGTGTTGCCAATCTTCTTGGCGGGGGTAGGCTTGGCGCGGTCGGGCGCGTCGGCGGCGCGCTGGCCTGGCTCGGCCTGGCCGGGCTGTATCGAATACCTGAGTGGGTTTCGTCGGCCGCGGCTGGCTAGACTGAGGTGCGCACTGCAGGTGAAACAAAGGGGAGCAGTGAAAGAAAAATCAGAGAGACCGAGTAACAGACAAAATGGAGGTGGGTTTGAGGGTGAAATGTGGATCGTGTAAACGTGGTGGTTGGCGTGCCTGTTTGGCTGCGTGGTTAATAGATGGTGCTGCATGTCACACGTCGCGAGATGACACAGAGGCACTGCCCCCCCCTCCCCTTTCCTGCATACATATATTGCGTGTCTGCGTGTCGCGGTGGGACGCACGTTGGGACGCGTTGGCGCCACTGCCGGCCGTCGTCGTGGCCTAGTGACCCATACCCTGACCCTCTACACCAACCCTCCTTCCTATCTGATCCCGCGCGTTTACATGCCACCCTTTGGCCACCCTTTCGCCGCCCCAAGCTTCTTCGATCTCACCCTTTTTCTCTGGCACCACCCTTTTTCGACCGCACAGCACGTGCGCTGAAAAAATATCTTTTTGACTTCATTCTTCCTTTCCTTTTCAGCCTGCCTTTGAACAACATTTTCGGGACCCCTTGGAATCTAGCACTTTGGATCATCCCACTGCCCTACTGTTCCGGTCACCATTTGCCTACATCGGAATGCTTGCGTCCAGCAGCTCAACAGAGTCGTATCGTGTCTTCTTTCCCGCCGGTCGGTTAGTTTGGTTCGTTGCATGACTGTTACAAAGAACATCGAAGTCGTCCACGAAATAATTTTATTTAGAGAGCGCCGCAGCCGCACAGAATTTTGTTTAAAAAGAGAAATGAAAGCAAAAAGCACGGAGCAGAGTAAAGTAATTCAAGTGGAAAAGTTGGCGAGAGTGAAATGTCTGCGACGTGTTGAATGTCGGTCCGAAGTTGTCCGTTGTGTTCATCTTGATGCCGGTCCCCGAGGCCGCAAAGTTGGCCACCCTTTTTCTCGTACCCGCCGTGTACTTTTTTTTCTTCTTTACCATCACAAAGACTGTCAAACTCGAAAGTGCAACGCGCCCAGTGCAGGGCCGCGGATCGATTTTTAATTTTGTGGAGTCGGATTGGCCGCTTTTTATCCTGTTGTTGTTTTTGTTATTTATGAAGCCCCAGAGGGCGAATCGCGGACTGTATCGAAGCGCGCTGGAGGATTCCAGGGGCTCTCGCCACCCGACTGGACTGCGCCAATCAACAGCAACCTCCAATCCTTTTTTTTTCACGTTTGTTTTTGTTTGGCCGCGTTCTGTCACCTGGTCGAAGGGCGGGCCCACCTCACTTTTTCACTGAAAGTAATCAGTCAGGAATGAAAAGGCAAAAGAAAATACAAGAGTCGGGTTGGCCTTGCAAGCTGGACTCAATTCACACCGAAAAAAAAGACGCTTTTTTTTTGCGCCAGTTTGGTTATGACGGTTGTATTGCGTGCGGCTCTATTGCTATCGCTATTTTAATCTCCACTGGATTCAGGTGCAGCTGCTGCAGTTCGGTTTTCGCTCTTTCTTTATGCGAGCTCTTTGTCCGCGGGCGCCAAGTTGTGAAAAAACGGGCAATGAGTCGATCGTATCGCGCGGTCATCGCAGTCACAGTCTACAATTGATCGATTTGAACGTCGGGTCGCGCCAGTCAACGCTGTCGCAGTTTCTTCCCTTCTCTCCCCCCCCCCCTCTCTCTCTCTCTCTCTCTCTCTTCTTTTACTTGAGAAAATGAATAGGAAACGAGGGGACGGAACCTCTTAGAATGCTTCATGGCGTGCCACTGGAGTGGGGTTATTAACTCTTTCTCTCTCTCCTTTTCTTCATTTTTAATTTTCATTCTCCTTCATTTTCCCTTCTTTGTCTTAAGATAATAATTATTTTTTGTCTCACGTTTTGCTGATGGGGCGACCCGCAAAGTTTACAACTGGATATTCTTTTTCTTGTATCGAGTCGCTGCAAGTTGAGGCATTATGCGCCACCACGTGGTGTGGGCGTCATGACGTCATCGAAGCGGCTTTCCTCCCTTAATTGTTTAACTTTGTTCTGCTTTTCGGAAGGAGTGGCTGAAATGAAACCAAAGCAGCGCGGCTAAATATTTTCAACCAGGATGAATAACAGAGGGAGAGTGGAGTTTAAAAAGTGTTGTTGTTTACGCTGGAGGAACCCATGAGAGCGTGTTGTCGCCTCTCTCCGCGCGAAGGTCTCTAGCCTGACGCACTGCCCTGCGCTGGCCAGCCAACCGGTTGGGGAAAAGGGGGGGGGGGGGCGTCTGTCTTGGCTCCGCACACGGGGGGGGGGGGGGACTAAAGTCGCCGAAAAATAAGTGTTTGCGCAAACGATGCCACGTTTGTCACTCGCTTTCACCTAATTGTCGACGACTGCGAGGGGGAGCTCAGCTCGTGTGTGTCCGTGTGCGTGCGAGCGTGTGTGTGTGAAGGGGTCTTTACTGCGCTCGCACGAAATTTGCCGAGCTGTCTCGACGAGCGGGAAGGTACCCGGTGCGGCGCGGCGACAGGCCGGTCCCATTCACTTTCCGCACCTCCCTCCTGCGCTTTGAGCACGTGTGTGTTATTTATGGTGACTTGTGTTATTGGCAGATTGAATGCGGGGACGCTTTATTCCCGGTTAATCAAAATATGATGGCTTGTAGGAGACTGACGTGGGGCGCAACGCCCTGTGCCGTCAGCCCGCGTCAGCCCGCGTCAGCCCCTGTTTGCTTGATGACCACATGAGTGCGCACGCCGCCACACCCCCTGCCTCCCCCTACCAACTCCTGCTACCCCCTACCACCTCCTGCTACCCCCTACCACCTCCTGCCAGCTACCACCTCCCGCCTCCCCCTTCCTCCGCTACCTCTTTTCCACCACCTCCCACCTTGCCTCTACATCTCCCCCTTCCTCCAACCCCTCCCCTCCTCCCCGTCCTTACTCCCCTCCCCTCCCCTTCCCCCTCTCCACACTTCGACATACCCTTCAATTCCTCTCACCGCATAAATGAATGAAAGTATGTAGGTGGCCGTGTGTTTTTTTTTGGGGGGGGGAGAGGGGGGCTTTTTTTCTCTTGTAGTAAAAATGTGAAACGAAAAAAATCTTTAATCAACGCGTCATTAGGTGTATAGGCTGGAGCGCGATTCCGAAACATTGCCTCGTCCCAGTGGGAGGTAGACCCCTCCTCCCCTCCAAATCCCCATGCATCGCCCTGCATTTTCTGCTTTTGGAGGGACGTCGGTGCCGATAGCGCCCACACTGTAACCGCCCCCCTAATTTTCCACCGGGCCTCTTTTATTTCCCCCCTTTTCCTCGTTAAAACGCAATTTTTTGGCGGCCGGGGTGTGTGGCGTCGCTGCTGCCGTCTGCCTTTTTAGCGGCAGTTTTTTCTTATTTCGTCTCTAAATGAAGAGCAGAGTGGCGCCTGTGAAAAAGGACACGCTCCCACTTCAGCGCTACCATTATTTCGCTCGAGAGGACGCGAGAGGAGTATGTGTGTGTGTGTGTGTGTGTGTGTGTGTGTGTGTGTGTGTGTGTGTGTCGGGTGTAGTCTCGCAATAAACTCGTGCATGTTTGCCAATTACCTCGTCTCTGGCAGGTGCATGCCTTACGCACCAACGGTTCCCGCGGCCCCCTTTTCGGCGACCTTAAAGCGTCCGACCCTAATGCGTCCGACCCCAAGTTTGACTACCCTTGCGTGTCATTGCCTTGACCTTTTCCGTTGCTTGTCTGTTGCAGAGGTCGCGAAGGCGCAGTCACAAGGAAAGACAGTTAAAGAAACAAAATACGTAGACATCTATAGGGAAAAACCAATCAAAGTGAGCGTCAAAGTTCTAGTCCCCAGCAAAGAGCACCCCAAGGTAAGCGGCGACCATTTTCCTTTTCTGACAGACGTTGAACGCTGCCTGTCGGTTTCACAGTGGTGTCGCCCTTGTGCTTGCAGTTCAACTTTGTTGGCAAACTTCTGGGACCGAAGGGCAACTCACTGAAGAGACTCCAGGAGGAGACGATGACGAAGATGGCTGTGCTGGGCAGAGGCTCCATGAAGGACAGGACCAAGGTTAGTGATGCTGTGTTCACCCCGGCTGCTGTACAGTGGGCCAGAAGATCCGTGGAAGCGACCATAATGATTCTACTCGCGTTTTGAGATCCATTGTCGCTAAACAGGACTCGAACCGAATTTGTGACCCCACCAATCCATTGATGGAGTCACACGTCCGGTTCGAGCCCCATTTAGCGACTCTGGAGCTCAAAACGCGTCCGGAATTTTGACCGCCTCGACCGGTCTTCTGGCCCACTGTTTTCTCACTGCACTGGCTCGCACGCTGTAGTTCGCCGGACTACTCCCCCCTGGAGGGGCTCCGCTAGGCTCCGCTGGGCTCCGCTGGGGCCGCTCTGCAGAAGCGGTAGTTGTTCTAATTTGAGTGTTGCCGGCGAGGAGAGGCACCGTAATATTTGTGCCGTGGATCAATATTTGCCGCTGAGAGCACCATTACTGCGTCGCCGCGATCGGAGTGCTTTCCCCGGGCGCACCTCCCTAGCGGCAACGGACAAGTTGAAGCCACAGACGGACTGAAAAAAAAAGGGAAAATGGAAGTTTGGACCCGGGCGTGGTTTGAACCCGCACCGCACGCGCGAGGCGACTAAACCCGCTGCACGCGACTAGTTGGATTTGCCGCGCGACTGGAAGTTATGCGACAGGCGCGCCAACTTCTGAAAGTTGGCATTTATTAGCCAGTAATGTTGCGGAGCCTCGTGGAATGATTAAATTATCCAAGTTATCTCATATTGTCCGCGGCTGGCCGCGGCTGCCCGGGGCGAGTCGGCATTCTGAGGCGTTGCGGCGACTGCGGCCTCGCAGATTTGCCCCCCGCCCAACCGGGACACTTTTTCACGTCCTCTTCGCCACCTCTGCCTGATGGACCACCGCCGTGGCCACCTTTTTTCCGCCTCTGGGCCTGCCTGCCCTGCCCTGCCGCTACATTTTCTTGAGATAAACGAGACGCATTCGGTCAGCGGCCGTAATTTATACGGGGCCTTTTGGGGACAGCCATCCGTCTGCATCTTCGCTGATGACGCGTCCACGATTTTTCGGAGGGTTTTCGCTTTTTTCTTTCGAGCCAGTTCTCGGGAGGCGCGGGCTTCTTCTCACGGAATCAAAGTGGCGTCGCGTCTCTTGGCACTCTTACCCCGAAGTGACAGTCGAGAAATTTGAAACAAGCGAGTTTGTTGAGTCACTCTTTTCTGACGGTCCGTGAAATCAATTTTTTTTCCCTCTCCTTCTCCCGGGTGCTTGTTGAGGAGCGTGGGCGCCCTGCTGGCAAGGGCTGCCGGGCCCCGGTAGCCCTTAGCGTCCAGTGCCAGGCCCTCGGCCATAGCCCCTCGGGCAGCCCTTGCCCAGCCCTCGGTGGTGAGCAAACCTTTCTGGTGGCGTGGCACGCCGTAGCACGCCGTGGCCCGGGACGGCCATCTGCAGATGAAAAGAATGGGCCTCTGGCCGGGGCGGGGCGGGGCGGTACTTCCCTGGGAAAACACCCCCAACAGACCCGGCAACCGCACGAATGCGTCACAGTCAATTTGCAATCCGCATTTGTTTATTTATTGCTTTGCCCCGTGTGGTTATTTCCCCCACTTTCTCTTTCATTTTTGTTGGCAAATAAAAGAAATCTCTTCCGCGGCTCGGTGCTGGTTGATTGTGGAGCGCCATGACTGCATTAATCTGGAATGTTGATTCGTCGCCAGCTTTGTTGTCGCTTCCGTCTCGATTTTCGTCACCGCCCCGTTTTTTTTCAATCTCCCCCCCCTCGGCGAACCCTTTGACCCTTTCGGATCTATATCTGAAAGCCTCCCTGTTACTTGCATCCCTCCCCCTCCCCTTCCCCCTAACCAAGGCGCAGTGGGGGCTTTTAGGGAAATCGGCGCACTGTTAGTTGGAGAGTGTGTCGGCTCGGCCTCCCGGGGAGGGCGTTGGGCCGATTGGAACGGAGGTGTGTGTGTGTGGTGTGTGTTCGTGTCCGTGTCCGTGTGAGGGAGGGGGATAGAGTGCCTGCTGCTGCCCCCTACGATGCAGACCGCCGTCTCTGTGTGGCTGGCCCCACTCAATGTGTGAGCAACTCGGAACAGCAACCACTGGAAAATTTTCCGCCGCTGCATCCTTTCCCTCTTTGTCCGGTTTTTACTCTCGCCCAGGGTCAAGCAGTGTAGCGGCTCGCTCCGTCGGCAGACTGTTTCCGAACCGCGTCGCCCCGTGAGGGGCTCCGTGAGGGGCTCCGTGAGGGGCTCCGTGAGGGGGTGCGAGGGAGACGGAAGGCGAGGCACTGCGGATAATGGAGCTCATCTATTGTTGAGCGGCCCCGAGCGGCGCTTCGGCCCTTCGGCTGCCCTTCGGCCGGCCCGGCCGTCGGGCCCCTCGGCTCCTTGTGGTCTTATTGGTTCTGCCTCTTAGCGAGTCGGTCGCAGTCGCAACACGGCCGGACAGACCGCGCTGGCAGGCGGGCCGCACCGGGCCGCACCGGGCCGCCAGGAAGCACGGCCGGTGCATAGAGCGAGCGTAAATCGCTTTCAGCGACCGAGTAATTCACGCTGAGCCGGGCCTAAATCACTCCGAGGCCGCTCCTAAATTACGCCGACATCGCGCGCCAAGCAAGGGGCGCTGAAGTGACGCCGAAACTCGCTCCGCACCGACCCCACTTTTTAATCACTGCTCCTCAGCCGCTGCACCTTGTTTGGCGACTAGTTTGGACGACAAACCTGTCCTTTAATCCGTTTTGCGCGTCGCATGTTGAAAGGGGTCCTGAGAGCGCGCAATGGGGTCAGACCCTGGGATGGTATGGACGTTTTGCGAATGCGGTGTGTGTGTGTGTGTGTGTGTGTGTGTGTGTGTGTGTGTGTGTGTGTGTGTGTGTGTGCGCGCGTGTGTGGTGCGATTGGCGTGTAATGGAAGGCCGATGGGACAATGGTGGCGAGTGGGCACCGAATCGTCAAGCCTCGTAATTACGCAACTGCAGTGTATAACGAGACTTGTTTGATGTGGTTCTTATCGCTCCAATTCTGTGCGTCTCTGTCTGCCTGTCTGTCTGTCCATCCGTGGAGGAGGTGTACCTGAAGGGCTGCCCTGGCGTGCGGGTCGTCAGGTTGAAACATTGGCCCGGTGGCAACCCTAACAAAGTCGCGCGGTCGTCAGGTTGACACATTGGCTCGCAGTGCCTCGCAGTGCCGGTGCGTGAATCAGGGGGATGGCGACTCGGTGCGACGCGCGACGATGCCCCCTGTTTAACGGCGCTGTGTGTCACGGGGCCAACGGATGGCTTTTTCCGGACGCTGGCGCAGCAGCAGCAGGAGCAACAACGACAGTAGCAGGAGCAGCAGCCATAGCAACAACGGCAATAGCAACAACAGCGGCTATAGCAACACCGGCAACAGCAACAACGGCAACAGCAACAACGGCAATAGCAACAACGGCAATAGCAACAACGGCAATAGCAACAACGGCAACAGCAACAACGGCAATAGCAACAACGGCAATAGCAACAACGGCAATAGCAACAACGGCAATAGCAACAACAGCAGCTACAGTAACAGCAGCAACATCAGCAGCAGCAACAACATCAACGACAGCAACATAGCAGCAGCAGCAGTAGCCACAGCAAAAGCAGCGCGCGGCGAGCTCGCCAACGAGACCCCCATCATCCCCAACCCCCCCGCCGCCACTACCCCCTAATCCCCCAGAGCAGCACAGCTGGCTCATTACAGACACACGTGCGTGCGTGTGCGTGCGTGCGTGTGAGTGCGCGTACGTGCGGGCGGATGGATGTAATGTCCCCGCTGAAATCACGCGCGCCGTGGCCTATGGGCCGTGCCCGGGCCTTCCCCCCGGTGTGGCTGATTGCTCGTTGACTGATTGCACAACCTGCACCTTTTCCGCCTACCCACTTTCCGAGCGCGCTGTCCGTTACGCCGTGCGCGCGCGCGTGTGTGTGTGTGGCTGGCCTAGCTCCTCCTTGCGGGTAAATATAGCTCGCGCTGGGCAGCTCGCTCATCTGCGGCCGATGATGGCTGGGGCCTCCTTCCGGTGGAGTCTCCCCCTCCCCCTTTTCCCAGCGCGCTAATGCCCAGCCGTGTTGGAAAGAAGGAGCGATTTTTCAAATCAATGTTCTGATTACTTTTATTAACTTTCTTTCGAAAAAAAAAAGAGTAGGAGAACAAAAGATAACGTTGATTTGGAGACCGGAGAGGGGGCCGCACAGACTTTGAGGGGCCTCTTTTGGTCCCGCAGCTCCTCTTCTTTTAATAGCGAAATAAATTGTTAATGCCTTGGGCGTGGCGTGGCGGGGCGTGGCGTGGCGGGGCCCTCGGCTGGAGGGGAAGGCAAGGCGGGGCGGGCCTTTGCACGTGGAGAGCCTGACGGGGCCCTGATGTATGCAGGTTGGCTCGGTGCGTCTCGGTCGGCCGGAAGACCATTCGATACCTCGCCTGCTGGCCTTCCCGCTAATCATTTTCCTTTTACATCCCCCTCTCTCCTCGTTCCATGTTCCGTCCCGCCGCCGCTACGACGATGGCTCTCTGGTGGCGCTGGAATGGCATGCATGGTGGTGTGCGTGTTTGTTTGTGGACTGCTTGTACTTGCGGTTTTACAACGATGCATGGGCCTCTATGTCACTGCGGCCTAATCCAGGGTGTCAACCCCTTCTTCCTGTCTCTGTCTGTCTGCATGTCTGTCTGCATGTCTGTCTGCATGTCTGTCTGCATGTCTGTCTGCATGTCTGTCTGCATGTCTGTCTGCATGTCTGTCTGTCTGCATGTCGGCCTGCTGATGGCTATCGATGCACCGTGGAGTAGTAGCGCCATGTCGATGGTAGTGGCTGGACCGTAATGCATTCCCTCCTCCCTCAAATCTGTGTGTGTGTGTGTGTGTGCTGATAGGCCGCGTGTCCGCAATGAGGGAAACTGATGCTGTTTGTTGTTGTTGCTGGTGGTGGTTGTCGCTCGGCTGCTCTGTATGCAACTTTGCCGGACATGCTGATGCGATGCGAGAGCGGAACAAGACCCGCATGTTTACCA